TAGATTTTATAGCGCTAACATTTGACTAATAAACACATTGACTAATAAACTAAATTAGTGTTTTATTATCGACTAATAGAGTATTAATCAGTTTTTCTTTAAATTTGTTAGAAATCTGTTAAAAAAATTGATAAACATTCACACTTATATATCAGTTATAATAATAATATGTTATTTATTTTTTCAAAGTTATATATAACCTCACTTGTTAGAGCATTTAGTTGCTGTTAGACAATAATAATAATAATAAAAATGATACTGGTATTCAAAAATATTTATTTAAATTGCTTTTACAATAGATTTAAATTGGAAAATGATAATGATATAGATATTGATATAATCAATAATGTCTGGATAAAATAATATTTTAAATATTTTATTTCACATGATATTTCTACATAATAGTAAAAAAAATAGAAAATCATCGATATTATCAAAGAATTTAAGTTTGAATACATTGATTTGTATATATCTATTTAATTCATAGCCGATAAAAATTTTTATTAAATCACATCAAACTTATAATTATACTATAATTAATTTCAAAATCTAATCTATCAATCAATTTATGACATCTACAATTGTCTATGACATCTGTAAATTATCAAATATATCTTATTAAATTATACTAAATAATAAAATATTTTTGCAATTAATATCAGATTTAGAACTAAATGTGAAAATCTTCGACAAATATTAACAATATCTTTTTAAATTGTAAATAAATTATAAATTTAAATTAAATTAAATGTAAATTAAATTATAAATTTAAAATCGCTAAAAAAGATGTATATATATTTTCATTTCCATTTTTAAAATGGATAATAATTGACTATTGTCATAATAATTTGACCATATAATAATAAAGAATCAAATCAAATTTAATCTATATAATAAATGTTCCAAAAATTTTTCAGAAAATTTAAACATTTAAAGGAGAAGATCTACTGAAAAATCAAGCGTAGTGTATCATTTACAGTGCAAAGATCGATTAAACAATCAATTTATTTCTATATCGATTGATTTAGAAAAGACAATATATTTCTATCTATACAAAAAATAAGTTGCAGGATTATTTGAAGTTTAAAAAAAATATATATATATATATAGTTACTATAAGAAGATATAACAAGAGAAAAATGAATTTATCGAGAAAAATCTATCGAAAAATCAGGAACAGGATTATCCAACTCTAAGGAATCGATCTATCTAAGGAGATAGATTTAGTAAAAAGAATCTACTAGTTGTAATTTATCTAAGTCGAATCGAATGATCGAAGATAAAAAAAAAAAAAAAAAATGAATTTATCAAAAAATTTATTGAAAAATCAAGCATATCATGTAAAAAATCGATCCATCCTCGAAGAAAAAGAAAAAGATCATAGACGAAAAAATAGATGAAGGCGTGGAAATTATGATACGCGTGGCTTGCGTTCATGGATACTCTTTTCTCTTAACCGACCATTGTCTTCAAGAACTACGTAGTCTCTCGAATATCGTTCTTTCGGTTCGTATCGATTTCGCGGCGATTGTTACGCCGGCATCTAATTTGAGCCGACAGGCGCGTCTAGATTTATTGACATTTATTTTGAAACTCGAACCTTAACTGACCGAAGGAACGAGCCTGCACCTCCGATTGCTCGAAGGTTCGGTATTTCTTCTTTTTAATTTTTTGTCTTTTTGTCGATTGTCCAGAGAAATTCGTTCACGGGACATTTTTGTGAACATTCTTCGTGTTGTCGAATGATGAAATTTGGAAATCCGATAAGAAAATTGATTCAAGATCGGATAACATAGATAAGTCATTTCTGCTGATAGATCAGTGTCTCTCAATCTATGAATTGCAAGTAATGTTATTTATTTTTAAGAGATTAAATTATATTTCTCAAGAATTCGCAAGAAATTAAATAAATATTGCAAAATTTATATAAATATTTATATTTTTGAAATAACATTAATAATATTTATATATAAAAAGATAAGGAATATATAATATTTATAAAATAATATATAAACAGATAAGGAAATTTTAAACCAAATATTTATTTTTGTCTAATTTATGTAAAAATGAAAAATATTAAGTATAATTTAATTTTTAAATTTATTGTTAAAATGAAAAACATTAAGTATAATTTAATTTTTAAATTTATTTGAATATAAAATTTTTGCAAATTTTGATTTTTTGTTTTAAAATAATTTCTTGAAAAGCATCAATCTAGATATTTCAATAATAAAATTCAGTTATAGAAAATTTCGTTTTGAATACATTGTTGGCTTGATCGTATAGAATAACAATAAATAAATAAGATTCATAATAATTTTTCTAAATTTAAATTTTTCGAAGAATTTTTAAAAAGAAACAGTAACGATTCAATATTGATTCATATTAAATTTTTATTAATTGTGAAAATCTATGACAGATATTTAAGCCACGTCCAAATATACGACTTTTATTAATATCGGCATTTATCAACTGATGATAAATAAGAACGATACAAGGATAATTTTTATTTTTAATAATATATATTGTATAAAAGTTTTTTGTTTAAAAACTTATTTTTAATGTTAACATAAGTGAATGCTTTAATTCTGAATTTCTATCCAGAAATTAATTGAAAGAAAATATTATTGTTTCAGAAACCAATGAAAATATCAATCTTATTTTTCCTCCTTTTTGATTATAAATAATATATTTGATATAAATAATATAAAAAAATTAATTTTTTACTATACAATAAATTTTTAAGAAATTATTAAAAAAAAGAATGAATTTTTTACATTAAAAAAAATTTTTATATATCTTTTTATTAATATTTATTTATATAATTATATAATATTATATAATGAATCTAATCTAGTAAATTTTTAAAAATTGTATGTTATGAATTTGAAATTCGATTACTAT